TGTCTAAAATTAATTGGATAAATTATATTTAGACCCTCTCATGCTTGTCATTTAATCACTTAGACCCTCACATTTAAAATATTACGCCTTCATCCTTTTAGAATTCAAATATGACTCAAAATGTTCCTCAATTGGACATTTAAATAATTCTTAAATAAAATTAGATATAAAAAACATTATATAAATACCTATATTATATTAGGCATTCAAATAGTAAACTTAATTTTGAACTTTAGAGTATAACTGGCCCACAAAATAAAGGGTAGTATGAAAATTATAATTTTTTATTATGATAAAATCATATTTTTTAACAGTTATATTAATAGAAATCAACAATAAGGGGTTATTTGTTACACATGCACAAACTTCAGGGGGTGTGAAAATAATATTTTAAATGTGAAGTGTTCAAATGATTAAGTGACAAGGATGATGAGATATAGGTGTAATTTACCTATTTAGTTTTAGACGGTAAATTGACGGTTGTTAGTTTTAAACGCCTATTGATACAAATTTCTATCTTTAAGGGTGTAAATTAAGATTTTTGATCTTTAAAGGTACAAATTAAAATTCAAATAATCTTTCGAGGTACAATTTGTGATTAACCCTAAAAATAATATGCATATATTCTGTATATAAATATGTAAAAATTCAAAATAAGTTGAAAAATATTTATAAGGAATAAAAATTATTATTAAATATAAAATGATCTAATAGACCTTGTATATTAGTACGGGCGAATTTACATTGTGGACAATGGGGGCAACTACCAGTGTAATCCAAAAAAAAAAATTGGGTTCATTTGAAATTTTTTATAATTTAACCCAACTAAAAATCTGTAAAATACTTTTATACTTGAATAATATTTTTTGCACCTAGAAATTTAAGATAATTTTCTGACCAAATTATATTTTAAGTAAATTGGTTCCAACGAACAAGTGGAATAAGTCCACGAGTTGTTATTAGAATAATATTAGTAAACTATACTAGTCAACATATACATAGGTAATCAAATTAATTCAAATATTTAAGTTCAAATAGTATTATTATTTTTGTTTTAGTAAACAAATGGAAATTTTCTTTTGGTTAAAAATAGGATTATTTCATAAATTAAAAAATCAAAACGTTGTATTCCATATGCTTCAATATTGCTTCTCCCCCTTTAAATATAACCCTATAATGTTTGCATGTGTCTCAAATTTAAATTAGACATGAACATGAAATTTAAATTTCTAATTTTGAAGTTATAATTTGAATAGTGACAGATCACCATATTTATGATACATTATGTTGTTCCAGGAGGAGAGAGAAACGAAATGAATCTTTCCTCACAAATAACGATTATATATGTGGTACGCGCGACACTACCTAAAAAGAGTGAATAAGTTTTTTAATTTTAAGCTCAATTGATAGTCAAATAAAACATAATTTACCTCAATTATCTCTTCTCACTTGAATTTAATAATGAATAGTGACAACTCTTTTTAGTCACCACAAACTCTTATACTCTTGACAATTAATGTTAATTAATTTTTAATTATTTCACTCAAATAATCAATTTTACGGCGATCTCAAAACCCAAACTCAATTGCAACTATGGTTGATTTATGTGTCGAACATTTAAATCATTAAAACACATAGTGCATGTGTGTAGGCTTTAATAATGGGTCTCTAGTTTAGTAGTATTATTTGTCTTGTATTTGAGGTCAAGAGTTCAAATTCTCTTCTCTCTTTTCCCCCCCAAAAAAATAAAATAAAATAAAACATATAGTGACCATGTGTGTAAACAATCACAAATGNTCCCCCCCGCCCAAAAAAAATAAAATAAAATAAAACATATAGTGACCATGTGTGTAAACAATCACAAATGTATATGTAAATAAATAATATGAACATAACCAATTTGTTGGCACGAAAAATCTTCTTCGGAAAAGTCCGTGGAAAACCATTCGAGGTTCACAAAGGCTTAATCCACTACCCACAAAGTCAATCTATAAGTATTTGAATCTTATATATCAACAAATATCATGGTTAGATATTCGTTTTCTTGATAGATCTCTCCACCGAAAATATTTCTTTGATGTTTTACATAACTTCACTTGAACTTTCTGCCACACAGTTCGTTTAAGTCTTGCGCAATCATGAGCATACCAACGATTTTTGATATGCACACATCAATGAATTTATCAAATTATTAAGATCTTCAACTTTAAGTTGTGAGTTTTAAAAGAATCTCTAGTTGTAACCTTGGATCTTAGGGATCTAGGGTTGTAATGAAAGTTCTCTAGGTTAGATACGAGTTTTCTCACTCAAAAGGCTTATAAGAGGTGTGACCTAGTTAAAAAAAGACTATCACTATTTATAAGTTCAAAATGAGATAATTTTGGCCAACAAAAAAATTCAGATTTGCGAGCGACTGCTCAATCGATAGAAGGGCAGTCATAGGATGATTATCACTAGAATAAAAATCACATTTTAAACTTGATTGAAGAGCACAGACCACTTGAGCGGCCGATTGCTCAAACAATGGTTAAAGCTGCTCGAGTGAGCTAATAAAGCGAGTCATATACTCCATCACATGGTCTCTTCGTATTTTCTTCCTTATGCCCTTAGAAGACCACACTAGCAAAGACTAGATAGCATAAAGTTGTCCTTACTAATTTTTAAACCTAAAAACAAACAAAAAAAATTTCATCTTGAACACTAAATGGTGTTACTTAAGAAGCGTCCGTTAATGACTCAATATATGTTTTCAAAGTATAAAACGGTTAAACTTTTTTTTTAAATCACCTAAGAGTCATACATAGATTAATCCTTAATTTTATTTTAATTCTAATCATCTTAAATTAAATAAACCAAAGAATCCTCTTAAATATCTAAATCATTATCTTTATCCTAAGTTTGAAGGTGCAATCGAAGTGTAGATAATGTAGGTTTGACGATTGATCTCCTCCCTTTAATAACATTTTCAGATCTTCAACCTGATAGTATCATGACGATGGAATATGTTGAGGTTTATAATAAGCTTCACAAAATCAGCCAATTAAAAATGTATATCTAACAAATTAAATAATCTTAGCATTACGATTTTAATTTAACAATGAGTTAGATGTTCCCGCTGCACAATAGTTCTGGCTCGGCCCATGTATATAAGGAATTATATGTGCATATATATGTATTATTATACACGTAATTAAACTTAGGTTAAAAGTAAGCTTAAATTAAGAAAATGTAAATGTAAAACAAATATCAATATAAAAAATAAAAAATACTTAAAACATATTATTGAATGATATGTAGAATTTAGTGACCAGAAAAAAATGAAATCTAGAATTTTAAGTTACTTAAGTGATGAATTTTGATTATTAGTCGCACTCACATAAAAAAATATAAAACATAATTAATTTTGAAAATTGAATTACTTTATGAAATAACACTACTAGATTAAAATTACCCACAAGATCAACTTTTTTAATAGAAAAATGATAAGTTTTGAGAGAAAAAGTTGAGAATTGGGATTCCAAAATGGGTAATGTTATATGGATCATAATTTGTTGACATAATAAAGTGGTTTCATAGGAATTATTATATCAACACCAAATTCTAATATTTGATGAAATCTACAGGTTAACAAATTATATAGTAAATTAAGTCTTAATAGCATTACTCTTCCAAAATTAATGAGAAAATTATATATGAGTTGTAAGTTCCACATAGAGCATAAACGGGTATGAGAGCAAGGGCAAGGGCAACAAAACACAAAAGAATGTTAGAACAAGAGCATCATACTGTGTAAATACATATATAAAAACTATTGAAAATATATTTACAAATATTAAATTTTATATAAAAAGCCTTAAAATTACCCGGAAAAAAAAAAAAGAAAGACGAAAAAGACCCAAGGCATTTCAATACAGTTCACGTTAGGAAGCAGTCCCACATCGACCAGGAAAACTCCCAGCCCAAAATGTCTATAGATAGTCTATTGTCCTCAATTGCAAGAGTCACTTGCAATGGTTGCCACGTGTGTGAATTGCAGTTGAAAAAACTTCTTTTTTAATAATTTGTTGTAGTTGGCGAATTCATTTGAATGAGTTCGTGAATTCTTTTAAGTGAGATTGCGAATTTGTGATGATTTCGCTCTGAAGATGCGAATTTAATTTGGGAGCTTTCGAGAGCCGATAAATTTAGGTGAATTGTGTGAAATAGCCCATGCAACTTAAGCTTAGAACTATCAAACTATCAGAAATGTGTCCCAAAGTATGCACTACTCATAACTTTCAAAAAACATTGAATGCATTTGAGTCTAAAAGGTTGAACTTGAATTTACTAAGTCTAATTCACTATTTAACAATACATGACTTTAACCCAAATATACCACCCAAATCTAAGTTGAATTGGGAATTTTTTTTTTTTTGCCGAACTCACTCCGATGTTAAAAATTGCTACGAATGTTTTCGGTTTAAATAAGATAAAGTTCACATCAACCCGTCCAAATACCACCCCAATTAGAAATAGCTATTACATTATACTACACATTAATTTTTGTGTATCCACTAATTGAGGACGTGGGACCCAAGATACTTTCCTTAGCCTCATCCATACGGGTAGGAAATATGCTCTTTCGTCTTCCTACCTGATACTTTGCGGAAGAATTTTTTATTGGCCTATCCTACCCGATAGGTGTGATATTCCTACCCGACTTCCTATCCGATTAATCGGGTAAATATTTTTGTAACAATTAATTTTTGAATCATTTTAACAATTTAATTAAATAACATGCACCAATTTAACAACACAATAAATCAATTAACACTAAAATCTAAAACAACTACATCAAGAATTATAATAAAACACAAGAAAGTATGAACATCAATCCACCATAATTGTTACACAAATATAATAACAATTAATTTAAGTTTAAACTTTAAATCAAATAAAATACATTAAAATCATAATTGATCCGCATATGATTAGAGTTTATAATTTTTTTTGTTTATATATATATTAAAAAATTATTGCGGGTAAGATAGGGTAGGAATGCGAAAATGGATGGTTATTCCGTATTTTTCTCTGAAAATTATCGAAAGATCAAAAATTCTTCCATATTCCTATTCAATTTTTACGACTAATCGTTCAGTAGGGTAGGATAAGATCGAGTAGGATAGAAAGTTACAGCGATTAAAAATTNCCCGAAAATTATCAAAAGACCAAAAATTCTTCCATATTCCTATTCAATTTTTACGATTAATCGTTCAGTAGGGTAGGATAAGATCGAGTAGGATAGAAAGTTAAGGCGATTAGAAATTAGAACACCCTTGTCCTTGGTTAAGAAGTTACAAGTTTTTAATGTTGATAAAAGGTAAGCGGTGGGTCCCATCCAATTATTGGTTGTCACTTCTATCAAATGTGGCATNTCTGAAAATTATCGAAAGATCAAAAATTCTTCCATATTCCTATTCAATTTTTACGACTAATCGTTCAGTAGGGTAGGATAAGATCGAGTAGGATAGAAAGTTACAGCGATTAAAAATTAGAACACCCTTGTCCTTAGGTAAGAAGTTACAAGTTTTTAATGTTGATATAAGGTAAGCGGTGGGTCCCATCCAATTATTGGTTGTCACTTCTATCAAATGTGGCATTCTTTCTTACACTCCACCCATATCTCAAAACCCAACAGCTCATAAAAATACATTCTTGAGGTCTAAGTGATCCAACTGGCCGGTTTCAGATCTTAGTTATACCTAATTGTTTTAAGTTGACACATAATTATTAGTAGAAGTACCCCTCCAGTTACCCACTAATCTCAAAACTAACCTCTATCTTAATGGCAGGGACTTGTTGATAAATTGGTTTGCAATATGTCTTTCCTAAAAAGATACTGATAAAAAAATATTATGAAATGATTCAAGGATATCAAGATGAGATTTTTTTTTTACAGGGTGTTTAAGTTTGTCTTAACTATTTTCGTAACTTAGATACTAGCTACCATAGTCAGAGTAGGTTTATAATATGTCATCACTGATGAATAAGGGTGACTGATCCTAAAAAATTANTAGGGACATGTTGATAAATTGGTTTGCGATATGTCTTTCCTAAAAAGATACTGATAAAAAAATATTATGAAATGATTCAAGGATATTAAGATGAGATTTTTTTTTACAGGGTGTTTAAGTTTGTCTTAACTATTTTCGTAACTTAGATACTAGCTACCATAGTCAGAGTAGGTTTATAATATGTCATCACTGATGAATAAGGGTGACTGATCCTAAAAAATTATGAAAAATATTGAACATGAGACTTCTAAATTATCAAAGATCAGACTCATTTATTGAACCATCCTTAAGAATTTCAAGATAAGAGTTAAAAGAAAGAAGAAAAAAAAATAGAACCTCCTCCATTCAATTATTTCCCCTCTCATATTTCTCCCACATGCNAGTAGGTTTATAATATGTCATCACTGATGAATAAAGGTGACTGACCCTAAAAAATTATGAAAAATATTGAACATGAGACTTCTGAATTATCAAAGATCAGACTCATTTATTGAACCATCCTTAAGAATTTCAAGATAAGAGTTAAAAGAAAGAAGAAAAAAAAATAGAACCTCCTCCATTCAATTATTTCCCCTCTCATATTTCTCCCACATGCCACTACCTAGGTATTGAATGTCATCGTCATATAACTATAATCCCTCTCTCTCTCTCTCTCTGCCCCCCCCCCCTTCCCAAAGACATAAAAAGGTGTTAGGACATCTCTAAAAAATATTCAAATCTTGATTGAAATTTATATTTGAATAAGAAGAAGTTCAAAATAAGTTTAAATCTTTTGCTCAAATTCATACTAAATGAAGAGGGATTTAAATTTTTATCCAAATCAATGGAGACTCNATATTCAAATCTTGATTGAAATTTATATTTGAATAAGAAGAAGTTCAAAATAAGTTTAAATCTTTTGCTCAAATTCATACTAAATGAAGAGGGATTTAAATTTTTATCCAAATCAATGGAGACTCAAATCTCAATGGTTAGATTTCATTTTCCTGTCAAGATTTAATAGTTATATTTTGCTATCCTTTAAATTTGAGTTCGTACTTCATTAAATTTGAATTTGTCCTCCTTTAAATTCAATTTGTCCAATGGAATAAATTTTATTAAATTATATTTTTTACTCAAAATGATGAATCGAATTTAAGTAAAGATCGGAGATGGCTTTCAAGGGTTAAAAAAGTATAAATATTATTCAAGGGGGGATTTAGCAAGGGCAAATTGGGAGAGATAAAAAAGAGGGATAGGTAAAATTTAATTAGATGATATTAATATGACTAATCAAAGATGGGGCCAAAGCCATAATTAGTTAATGAGGCATTGTCTATGACCATCTTTTGCTTGAGATGTAAACTTCTTCATGACAATGTAGCACATTATAGTTGAAGTGTCAAAATTAGACATTTTAGTTGTCATGATAACAAAATAAATCCACACTTAGCCTGTCATGGTGGTTCGATTAACAAAATTCTAGGATAATATAAGAAAAATTCTTAACNATGATAACAAAATAAATCCACACTTAGCCTGTCATGGTGGTTCGATTAACAAAATTCTAGGATAATATAAGAAAAATTCTTAACTTAGAGACCAATAGCAAACACCTTAATCGACCAAACACGCATACTTTATTAGTAATTATGTGTATCATAGAATGAATGATCTTATTTAATGAAGAGGTGTGTATAACATATAGAGCATAGGCGGAGCTAAGTGGGGACTAGGGTGGTCCCGTGGCCACCCTCCAATTTTGCTAAAAAATTATTACCATAATTAAAATATTTATATATGTTATGATTTTTTAAATATATTTTATGGTGTCTACCCTATCACTTTCATATAGACCATAAAAATTGCTACGACCACACTACCAACACACTTGAAATATATTCGAATAAAATTTGAACACTTTGAAAGTCATTTTATATTCTTTTACAATAAATCACGAGATTATTTCACTTCTAAATAAAAATTAGAATTAATCTTGAGTAAAATAGAAAACTATTTCGTAAGTATGTAAAAAATAGTGTTGACAAATAAAATGAGGGGTTAAGAGAGTTAAAGAGAAATCTGTAGTATTATTTTTAAAAATATGAATTACGATTGGTCAATAATTACATATCTAGATGTTCTTATTGTGTTAGAGTTTTTGCAATTGACATTGATTTTTATATTTGATCATTGCACCCCATCCTCGAGGAAAGAGGCGAGGGGCACAAACCATACAAGGCAAGAATCCACCCAATAGAAGGATGGATGGAAAGATAAAGACTTATCTTGAAGACACTTTCAAATAAGCAAATCTCCCCCGTGAGTAATAAGCACACACAATCTGCTCAACCTCGTTTTAATACCATCAATATTTATGTTTTCTTGATTGTTATTCTTAATTTGATTTTGTAATTGATCTACAACTACTTTTTATTTTTTTACCAATGGTCTCTATATAAATTATTATATAAAAAAATGATTAAAACATGTGGTTCAAGTGCCCACAGAGGCGATCATTCTTGGTTCCGCCCCGAAAATAGAGTTTGCATAATTATATAGAATGATTGATTTTAGTAATTTAATAATAAAAATTTTAATGAAATAAACATGAATATTTGTTGGGCGGGGATATCGGAATAACCCCACCCATTATTATTAATTATATAGATAACCCACTGCCGATGCCGTTTCACGTCTTCAACAAGAAGATTCCCATATGCCACATTCAGAACATAGTAAACGTCGTTAACTAACGCCGTGAGGGTATATACACCTCACTGTACGCAGATATAAATATAAGTAACAGAGACCAAATAGAGACTTCTCACGAAGCTCCGACACCGCTCGATAAGTTAAAACACCGAAGAGAGAGAGAGAGAGAGAGAGAGGAGAGAGAGACTGTTCTTCTGTAGTTCTCACAGACCAGAGTGAAAATTTGTAAGGAATCTCTGGCATTTTCGCCATTTCGAAGCTCCCACTATTTCTCGATCTGTGCGTTCTAGTTTTTTTTTTTCCCGAGAAGTATCTGGGCGTTCTTGTTGTTAATGTGTAATGTGGTTATATTCATACACAGATCTACTCAATTTCTGTGAACAAATGTTGTTGGTGTGTTGGATTGAGCTTTTTATTTTTATGGTTTTTATGTCCAGTTTGGTTCCAAAATGAGATTTCTTTTCTGTTTCTTTGATTTTTTTTCGTTGGCAGTTTGATTAGTTCTATATATGAGGTCTTGTGTGGTTGGAATGGAAATGTAGGAGAAGAATAGAATAGAAAATGAAGTGTGAAATAGCGGAGCGCAGGATAATTTGAAATTTTGAATTGAAATTTAAATGTAATCATAACTTTTGTTCTATATAGAAAATGAAGAGTGAAATCTCAGCTTGGGAACTGGGTAGGGTAGCTTTTGTTTGGTGAGAAAGCGCAGGATAATTTGAAATGTTGAATTGAAATTTAAATGTAACCATAACTTTAGTTCTATTTTTTTGAATTTTTGGTGAAGAAAATTTCATCCAATCAAGAATGCAGTGGATTTTTTTTTGGTCAAATAGGCTTCTTCATTGTATCGGATATTCCTTTAGTCTCACAATTTTGCATTCTCAATCATGACAATGAGCTTTACTTTTTCTTCTGTTTTGTTCCTTAATGAACTAATTTACAAAACTGAAATTCGCATTTTGCTTTGTGGGTATTCTTTTTTTTTTTTCAGTGCGTTTTATTTTGTTACTTGTACTATCATTAGGACATTATTGGATTATAGTCTAATAAAAAAAAAGAGTGATTTATATTTATGTTTCTTTTGTCCATTGTTCACGTTCTTGCTAGAAAGGATCCTAATAATTGGGTATTTTTAGAATTATTGGTCCGAATACCAACCTTCTTAAACTTTCAGGAAGAGATGCTTAGGAAATAAACTTCAGTTGTGGTGAGGAGTTGGATTGCTTTTTTTTTTTTACCCTTTACCATGTTATCTCATTTCTTGCTTGGGATTTATAGCATTCACGTAATAGTATGATTACTAGCTATTCTCCATAAGAAAACATCATTTTGTGGAAATTGCGGTGATAGCTGACTCAGTAGAAAATATAGTGATTGGGTGTTTGATAAAGAAATGGTGTGTGATGAAGCATCTTACTTATCACTAAATTGATGCGTATATAATACTTGTTTTTTTTTTTTTCTGCAGTGGAATGGGAATGGAAGTTACTGATGTTTGTATGGACAAGGAGCCTGATCTTGTTGCGATGTATTCCACTGGTGTTTCACAGGATTTGGGTAATGAAAGTATCAACAGTCATCCCAATGCTGCAGAGTCATATGCGCATGTTAGCGGGGACTCAGAACCCCATATGTTGAAAGAGGATACTGAAATAACGGAATACGAAGTGAAGGAATGCACTACTGAAAGCCCTGCGTCGATTTCTGAATCCTGTCATGTTGAAAAATGCACAGAAGAGCAAGATGTACTGAACTCGAATACTGAGGGCAGCTTACCAGAGGAGAAGGTGAAATCTGAAGCCCGAAAATCAAAGGATGATAACAAGAAGTCAACAGCCTTTTCCAAGCCCGTGACCAAATCTGCTGCTGGAAACAATCGAGCAAAGTGCACTGTTCCACAGCCTTTTGCTTTGGCAACTGAAAAGCGTGCTTCATATGGAAATCGTCCTGTTGGGACCGAACCAGATGTTGGTAGTACTGTGAGTAAATCAACTCATGCAAATGGTTTGCAATACCCAATTGCTTCAATCCAGAATCAGGTAACTACGATGCACCAAATCATAGAATCTTATTCCTGGTTCCTCTGTCCCTACATTTTTGCTGTGCTCTACTTGAAAATTTATTTTGGTGCTTGTAAACTCTTGCAACCCCCAAGTTTTTTTTTTCGATTCTTCTAAGTGGAGATAAGGAGAAGTTTCTTCTATTTTGTGTGTTTCGTGGGATTCTTGATTGAATTGCCAGTTTTTATTCTTGTTAAGGTCTTAGAACTTGTTTAATTGATGCTTGATTTCATGTTTTCTTATACTATGACCAACAAGATAATCCCCAGTTAAAGAAGATGTTGTGATGCCTGACTTAATGTAATCACAAATATCCATGCCCTGTCTCATGTCCCTGTTCCATAATTCTGCATTTGGGGCCCTTCCTTTGGAATGTGGAGTTTGGATTTTTTTATGGAGAATTTTTTCAGACTGATGATAGGTTGAAGATGTTTCCAAGTTGTCACATCAATTCCTGTGGGATCTGATTTCTTTGCAGCTAGTCTCATCTTCAGTAGCAAGAAAGCCATTGCAACCGGATAATAAGAAGCATCCTGATGAAGACGACTCGTGTTCTGTTGCTTCCTCATATCCTTTTAATCCTGTAAAATTTAGGCTTTTTATGCTTTACTGGTCCTTTCCTTTTGTGTTCTTTCCCTCTGGCTCTACTTTATGAATAAAACAATGCCTTAACTACTTGGAGAACTGCAGCATCAGCAAGAATTATTAAGTTCAGGGCAACTGTTGCTTCTGCTCCAGTGTTTAAATCTACTGAACGTGCAGAAAGGCGGAAGGAGGTAGTGTACAATCAATCTTTTGCATTTGATAGTTGTTTTTGAAACAAGTTGAATGAGCAAGGGTGTCTAAAAGTAAATACAGAATGCGAACTGTGGACTTTTTTTTCCTTGTTTTTGGTTTTGTGTGTTAGTTTTATTCGAAGTTAGAGGAGAAACACCAAGCACTGGAAGCTGAGAAAACTCAATGGGAAGCAAAGACCAAGGTACATTTCTATGTTCTTTCCTTAAATTTGGTTTGTGGTTTGTTACAAATCTGCGCCCCTTCTGGTATGCATACCCCAAGACTTGTCTTTAGTGTTTCTATTGCGCTTTTTCCACACCTAGTGCCTCGTTAAGTTGTCCAAGGTAGATGACTCTGATAAAAGTCCTCTGTGCCTTTCACCCGTTTTAAATGTTTAGGAAGAGAAAGAGGCTGCTGTCAAGCAATTGAGAAAGAGTTTGAAGTTTAAAGCAAACCCAATGCCAAGCTTCTACCATGAGGGCCCACCACCCAAGATTGAATTAAAAAAGGTACTCGGTCACTTATCCTGCTCCTTATCATTATGCTTTATATGCAAGCTTTTTGAGATGTTATTTCAAGGCAAAGGTTTCATAATTTGCAGAATGACAAGCATAGAATTGATAAGAATTAGCGGGAAATATTTATTAAAATGTGTATATAATTATCTTGGGTAAGATTGGTGTCCTTGTCATTGAATTAACATCTTATATATTTTAAAAATTAAGCTATGCACATCATTTATGATCCACGGCTCGCTTAATTAGAGCCCCAACTACTTCAAAGGAATTCGTTCCAAACTTCATGACCTTTTTTTTTTTCCCCGGATTTCAGCCACCACCAACTCGTGCAAAATCACCAAAGCTGGGCAGAAGGAAGAGCTGCAGTGATGCAGGTGGTGTGTCCCAGGGAGACAAAGGGATAGGAGGTGGCGGTCGAGGTACTCGCCACAGTCTGGGCAATTACAAAGACACAAACATTGTTGCTACTATGAACAGCAAAGATCAGACCAAAGTCCAGAATGGTGATTTTACTTGCAAATTTAAAGACGGTACCAAACCAATGGCAGAAACAAATGAAGCCATTTCCTCCAAGATAAATGGACAGGGGAATATGGACGTTGCTGTTCAGTCTTGAACCTCATTTGAGTTTCTAATTTAAATTAGGGGAAGTCTTCAACTTCTCTTGTTTCCTTGTGAAAGCTTTCAAGACTATGTGCATTTGATTTCCTTTAAGTTGTATTGGTTCTTGTAATGCTGTATTTATGAAGAGTAAATTTTGTTAAGTTATGCCCACAAATCTTTATATAATAAATCTCCATTTGTTTCAAAGGCTGTTCCTTTTCTATGGAGCAACATGCTGTCATGTCTCCATGTATTGCTTTCATTTCTGGTTTTAACATCCATCTGTTTGGTTAAGTAGGAAAGTGGAAACTTGATAGGTGATTCACAATTGGAGCCAATGATGATTTATTTCTGTCCCATGTGGTTGAGTTTTTGTTATATGCTTGATGGTAGTAGACATTACGATTCGAATTCCATCACAATTTCTGAAGTATAGAAAAGAGAAATCCATGCTTGTCATCTATGGAGGGGATCCAAATATATCGCTTAACAAAATATTTGTAAGGCTAGATTTAGTCAAAAAGGCATCTTTGGCATAGTTAATGTCATAAATAATTGAACTAGGTTAGTTGATTATTCTTAATTCTCTTGTGATTCTTTTAACTAAGAGCAAGGGCGGAGGCAGCCTGTTCTAGGTGGGCAAGTTCCCCCCAATTTTTTTTTTTAAATTACTTAGGTATGTATACTATATATTTGTATTATATGCTATTTGTGTTCACCTAAAATCAAAGACAAAAACATTAGGTCCACCATTATAATATAGTGNCATTTTTTTTTTTAATTACTTAGGTATGTATACTATATATTTGTATAATATGCTATTTGTGTTCACCTAAAATCAAAGACAAAAACATTAGGTCCACCTTTATAATATAGTGAATATGTATTTTAATTATGTTCTCCATAATTTTTTTTGGCACATCAATTAATGTATATTTATATCAAATGAATATGAATTTTTTGACACATTTTGGACAGATTATGTATCTATCTAGATAAATTTTGAACATATTAGAATTATTTTATATTTTCTAAGACTAAAAAAGACAAGAGATACATATTCGCTAGTTTATTTGTGATTTTGACATTTATTTTTTTAATTATGATAAAAATTATAAAATACACATTGAACTGTATAATCGATTAAATGAGTTATAAATATCAAAGTGATAACATGATCATGCATCTAAAAAATAATAAATTTGTTATGCAATGTTTTCAAAGTACAAAAATTCGTCAAAGTCAATTTTAAATGATTTTAATTAGTTAATATTTTATAAAAAAAAATGTTATCGTTTGTATATGCTAGGCTTACCAAATTTCGATATGGTGGGTTTAATGAACTTTTAAGTATTAAATAAATTAGTGTTCTATTTCTATCAATTGGAATAAAAAAATAATAATTTATTAAAATATTCTTGTCTATCCTAACACAATTTTTTGGTTCCGCCGTTAACCAAGAGGTTTATGGATCCCTCTTTGCTAAAGACAATGCTTGATTGCCCATTTCTCTAATTTGGGGTTTTATGTTGCCCCTCTTTTGGGCTTCTCTTTAGTATTTGTAAATGTTTTCTTTCTTGTTATAAATGTATTGTTTTTTTTTTTTAAGGGGAAGGGGAGGAAGATTTGATCCATTGACCTTAAGAAGACAAAATCTTTACAAAACAAAGAGTACAATTGATGAACGAAATTGAACCTGTAGCCTTACCCTTGTTTTAAATTAATAAACGTTGTTTTTTTGGAAGTTGGTATGGACCTTACAACTAACACCCTAATGGTAGATGTTGACATTACATCAAACAATTAAATAACCCATGCCATCGTCGATACCGAAATGCATAAACTTTTATGGTATGTTTGTTTTAAATATTTGGGTGTGAATAAGGGATCAAAATAAGGCGGGAATATACTTTTATGTGATTTGAATTTTTCGGTCTGGTTAGAATTTGGTATTAAATTCTTGATCTGATTGTGTTTATGTTGTACCACGTGATAATTACCTACCAACCAACAAAATTAGTGTTCCGTTTGGTAGGAAGAATGAAAAATAAGAATGATATATTTTCTTTCCTTTGTGTTTGATTAAATGAATAGAAAATAAAAATAATTAATTTTATTTTAATTTTATTTTTTGTGCTGACTAAGATTAGGGGTGACAATCGAATCGTGTCGTGTCAGATTCGTATTAACTCATAAAATTATGAGTCTTTTATATTTCTTGTTCGCGTGTTACGTCATTTTTAAATTTGTGTTATAAAATTCGTGTCCAATTCGAGTCGTGTCATTGTGTTGAATTGAAAATTTTCATCCCTAGTTGAGATAAAAAAAATATTTTTTTT